AAACCAACCACCTATGTACCGTATATAAAAGTACTGTAATAAATTTACATGACGTCTTGAAAGATTACAACAAGTTTTTAGAACGTTTTTCCGTACTAAATTTTTCAATGTAACATTATTTAAAAGAGATCTTACAAAAACAAAATACAAATACAAATGGGGTCAGAAGGACCAGGTCTTGACGACTGTTTATCACATAAGTCAAGTTTTTCAATATAACATTATTTAAAGAGCATCTTATAAAAATAAATATCCTACTTTAAAGTCGTGTCCTTAGCACACCTCTCAAAATTATCATATAAAAGGCACGAAAAATGTAGTATAAAAAACTAATAGAATTCTTTATTTAGAAAAACCATTTTTTTTTCTAAAACATCCAAAAGCACTGTAGACTTGTTGTAGCACTTTCACTCACATCTAACGACGATACTTATCTGGTTCCATAAACTTAAATATATACTATATTGAAAAACACGAGTTATGGTTAGGTTGAAATTTTTAAGAGATATAACTTTTTATGTCAAATGTACAATAGTTAAAACTTGTTTAATATCCACAATATAGATCAAGTGATATTGAAAATCAAATATTTTTAATTTTCAAATTACACTTTATGCCTTTATAGTTACTTATGTAATTTACTTTATATCCCTTTTTTTTTCTTTTTCATTTAACATATTTATCATATTTACATAAATAATCATATATAAACTAAAATGCATTAAAAATACGTTTATTTAATTTACAAGTTATATTATTATAGTCATCTCGTCAATACTTTTGAAATTAGACCAATATCGAATACTTTTTTATTTAATCGTATTATTAAATATTATAAATACGTAATGAATTGTTTTTAAACTTAAATTTTATACTTATAGTTATTTATTTAATTTTTTTCATTTTTAATTTTACACCCTAAATCTATATATCTCTCCATAACCAACCACTTCCCACATCTTCAATATTCAATATTCAATATTCAAAATCAAATCATTTTAAAATTTTAAATTACACTTTGGATCCTTATAATTAATTACTTAATTTATTTTATATCCCTTATTTTTTCATCTTTCATTTTACATCCTTACCATATTAACATAAATAATCGTATATAAGATAAAATACATTTAAAAAATACGTGATCTTTTTTACACATTATACCATTACAATCGTCTCATGAATACTTTCAAAATGAGTCTAATATTGAATATTTGTGTATCTAATCATAGCATAAATACACACGAATTAATTTGTCTTATATTCGAGTAAACTACGATTTTTGTCCCTGTTGTTTTAAAATTTTGTTTTTCATTTATATGGTTTGTAATTTATTGTTGTTTTCGTCTCTGAGACTAAATATACTAAAAATCTTTCATTTAAAATATTTTAGTCTTTTTGGTTTATTAAATATCGTTTTTGGTAGCTTTTTCGTTAATTAAGTATTTTTTATTTAATAAAACCATATATTTTTCGATGAATATCAAAGATATAATACTCATTGGAATAAGGGTCCTAATAAATGGAATAGGTAATATAGTTACTTTGTCATCCCCACTACTACTAAATCACCCCTCCACCCTCAGTTAAACTGGTGCTTGTTGCTAGACCTAATGAATTAAGCATATGAAATTTTTATTTTTATTTTGTTATTGTTTATGTTAAAGTAATTAAATATTTTTCATGCAATTTTTTTTATATTATTTTTGACCTTATGGTTTTATCTATATCTATGTTATCTATATCTATACCATATTAAAAAAGACTAAGTTATTATTATCTTGAAGTTTTAAGAGGTACAACCAATTAAGGATATTGTACTGCTCTTAAAGCTTACAACATCTCACGATCTACCATCAAATCATTTAAATTTTAAAATTACATTTTATATCCTTAATTATAATTAGTGATTTCATTTACTTTATATCCGTTACTTTTTCATTTTTTATTTTACACTATTATCATATTAACATAAATAATCCTATATTTGTACTATATTAAAAAGGCAGGAGTTTCAATTATTCTTGAATTTTTAAGAGGTACAATTAATTAAGAATATTGTATAAGTTCTTACAGTTTATAACCTTTCACGATCTTTGACAGGAAGGGATCGTTCGTGTTCACCTAGTGGACAGAATGTCCCCACAGTGGCGATACAAGTGCATGCCGACATTATGATCGCTTGCAAGTAATAAAGTGGTACAAAGTACCGAGATCGTTCCCACATAGAAGGTACTACTGAGATTCAGAGATTTTTCATGAACTTCTTGCACGAGTTTCGAGATGTAAAATAAAGTTGGACTTTTTTTATAAAAAGACCGAAATAGGACCGACTAACAAAATAACTGATTAAACTTCTAATATTAAATGATGGGCATGGATGCAAGTGTTGCTTAAGATAAAATTAATAATAAAATGATTAGACTTTTACGAGTTGTTTATAAAAGTTTCAATCTCTCGAAAGTGAACTTTTATAACCGGGCCTCATAAAATTCCATAAGGTTTTTACGTTTACCACTTCGAGACTTGCCGATCTAGCCAAAAAGTAAAAGGAATGCGATTTTTACCCAAATCTCTTTGTGATAAAAATACCTATTGCTTAACCCCTAGCTAGATGCATACAAAATTCGCGTCTCCACGTAATTATTCAAAGACCCTCTCGAGTTCTTTGTGCATCACTTAAGCCGTATTTCGGATCCGCCCATCTCTGGGTCTAAGATCTAATATTAACACTTCAAAGTGATCAGCTTATCCGCATTTTAAGTACCATCTTAAGTGACCAAGTCACGAAGGGATAAAACATAAAAACACCTTAATATTATATAAACATCCTAAGTAAACTCACACCCACACTCATACAAGTAATTTAGCTAGACATAATAAAAATAATTAAAGACATAAAATAATACTGAAATATAAATTGCATTAATGTAAAACTAAATTACAAGTACAAGAAAATAAAATACTAGAAATTAAAGACATAAATTAAAAATATTAATTAGAAAAAACATAATCATAAAAAGAAAGAAAAGGGAGAAGTGAGACACAAAAGGTGTTTTGTGTCTTAGATGGTATGTCTTCAAAATGGCTCCCCAAGCCTCTTTATATAGAGGAGAGGAAGGGGAGCAAGTACACCCAATCATTACCTTAAGGGTAGTTAGTACAAGCCTAAAAAATACAAAAGAAAATAAAATAGAAGAAGAAAGACAGCTCATACACAGCTGGAGAAAATATCTGAATGAATCTTCAAGCTATACGTTTCCCAAGAAGCAGCAACAAGGCTCGCAGACATCCCACAGTGGTGCCACAGTGGGTAGTGCTGTCAGAAAAATACAGATTTTTGGAATAATATCTCTTCCTTTGTGTTTCATCATCTTTTTAAAACTTTTTGGAATAAAAGGGGAAAAACAAGAAAATTGGGTATTTAATAATAGCAAAAAAATGAGGAAATAAATAGGAAATAACTCTTAAAAATAAGAGTTATCAATCTTCCATCAAGTTATTTTCAATTTTCAAAATTACATTTTATACCCTTATATTTTAGTAATTTGATTTATCTTATATCTCTTACTTTTTCATTTTTCATTTACTCATTTATCATATTAATATAAATAATCATATATGAACTAAAAGGCATTTAAAAATGCGTTCCTATTTTTTTACAAATTTCACCATTATAATTGTCTCATCAATAGTTTCAAATTGAGCCCAATATTAAATATTTTTAGATCTAATAATACTATTAAATATCATGAATACCTACAAATTAAATTTGTTTTATATCAATACATTTTCATTTTTCATTTTATACATGTACCATATGAAAAAAATACATAATCATATATTAACTAAATACATTAAAAACTGTGTTTTCTTTATTAACCAATTACGATCAACTAATAATTGGATTTAAGATTTATTATATTAGTAATAATTAATTTTTATTAATATTTTACAAATAATTAATATTTATTTTTAATTAATTGTAATAAATAATTATTAATATTAATCAAGGTTATAATTGAAAAAAGTAACAATAAACTGCTAAAAAAACTATTCCAATTTGTTTATCGATAAATTAGCTTATGTCCACTAAAGATCTACCCAACAAATAAACTACTTATTTTTTCCAAACAATCTCCAACCTGATTTAGTTTATGTTTGCTTGAGTTTTTCTGATTAATTATTCATGGTATAATTATTAGCAGCATACTTTTTGAGGCCGTTTGTAGGTCTCTATCATATATAAGAACCTTGCTATGTCCAAGAAATCAAGGTACCTCTTTATATTTTTATCTGTTACTTCACTAAAAGACACCAAATACGTAAGAAAAATCAAACACCACATTACAAAATTCCGTATTGACCAATGCATGTCATAAGCTTTAACATCCTCGTGTTATACATGAGTCTTGAGTCACGGCGTGCCATGACGGCTGTTGTGTTAAGCCTTTTTAGAGCATTGGTTTCTATTTATTATCATTCTTAGATTTGATTATTAAAGATTTTTTATTGAGGACATTGTGAAATATCAATCGATCTATGTGATAAATCATCTTTTTAATACAACATTTCTATTTATTATCTTTTTGAAATATTATGGTACTAAATCATTTTTTTATCAAAACGGAGATAGTTTTTGAATATTTTTACCATATTTTTTATTAAAACATAAAATTTGCATTTTATTTTTCAATTACAAATTGTAAAAACTATAAACCACCAATTAATGCATAAATTTGATCTTTAAAAGGCAAAAACAATAAATACTTTGGATTAAAAACATTATTCAAAATCTTTGACCAATATAACATTTTAACTTTGAAGTTATAAATCATCTGATTTATGATTTAAAATCACAACAAACTATAAAATTAGCATCGAAAAGGATGGAAAATAAAACAATATTGTCGTTTCAGGTTGTCGGCTTCATAATCAAAATGACTTACGTAACACCGAGCACAGATACGTTGCTAGTCTTATAAAGCAACCTAATTATTGACGTTCAATAAACTCAATTTTATTATAATAATACAGTTTTTAGTCGTGGAGCTCCACAGATACAGTTATTTAGGTTTTATGCAGCATACCTGTGAAAATGGATTAAATTTTCTGCATTATAAAAGTGCAAACATCCATTAGTCTTTCACACAGAGCAACCGTTAACCATATATATACACACATGATCCAAACCAACCATAAGAAATGGCCCCACCGATCGATCAATGAGCCCGATGCGAAAGCGGTGCCACGGCTCGATGGGCTTGAAACGCACAAGCACAGTGCACCGAGGTCAGGTTCAGGCAGCCACTTATGATCAGAGAATGCCTACCAGGGCACGTGTGAAGTGCCGGGCATGAGTCACACAGAGCTTGAACCGCAGGCGGGGTTAGAGCCGTGCATTGACTGATGTTGAGATTAATGAGCCCTTCTTCTTCGTACCGGCTTTTAACCGACTCCCAAACTTCCCGTTTGTTCTTCACTCGGCTATGCGCTAAAGCATACATAGCTCGGTCCGTGATGTTTTGACAGTAATATAGACCAAGAGACCGCAAATGTAAACAATTGTTTGCAAGAGCTATCACACTCTCATCTGCATGTTTCAATGTAGCGTGAGTGTAATCAGACACAACTCTTAAATCTCTCGGAGTACAACATATAAAAAGCATCACTCATGCCAAACCAAATGAATCCAGTATATCCCACCTGAAGGTAGGGTTTTGGGGAAGGTAGATGAATGCAAACCTAACCTCTATCCCAAAGAGTATAGCGGTTGTTTCCGTGAAAACCCCCGACTTGTGGAAAAAAAGCACCACTAATGCATTAATGACATGGTTTGTCGAGAATTTTTGGCTAAAAACATGTATTACATGGATGGAGCAATGAAATGTGGAGTCGGCTCCATGCCTGTAAAAGGGATCCAAGGTTTTGATTTCAACGTGCAAAAATCAAAAAATGCATTTTAAGTATTTGATTCTTTTACCTGCATGCGAAGGATCGTGTGAGAAAAGAAGTTACAGTGAGAAGCGTATGAGAGATATGAACCCTAGATCATTTTAATCCCATGCCCACCCATGAATTGCGTTTTAGAAGGGAATTGATCCGCTACATTTCAGTGCACCTCATTAGTGTTGACATTTAATTAGGATTGATCCAAGGGTGGAATCTCTTCTTACGCTTCTCACAGGAACCTAACCCTTTACCTACATTGGTAGAACAACAAAAAATGTGGAGTACGCTTTCATGGATATAGAAAGAGTCTAAAAAGCCGCGTCTGAAGAGCCACTTACCAAGCGCTTGCTTGGCAAGTGCCTACCAGCAAGAATCACCGTCCTTACTTATCGGGTAATGTTCTTGGCTATCAAAATGGATCATTGATAAGACTTCTCCCTGCTAAGATTCTTGGTCCTTACCTTGCTCACCCGGATAAGGTAAACGACATCCGGTAAGCGCTTGATAAACGGCCCCTAAGGCTTTTTGGGTTCGAAGTTCCGAAATCAAATGCATTTTTTTTTATTCTTTCTCTTATTGTTGTGGGGTGGTTTCAGGCTTTTCCATCCTCGGTTTATAATAAACATTGTACATCCCTTTGCAGCATGGGTGTACAACTAGAAAATATATGACTGCTCATGAAATTTGGATCAGTGGAAGTGAATCTATATGATATTTCCAATGTGAATTGATCTCAAAAAATCCCTCGTTAATGCTTTTGACTTTCAAAAGTCAAATATGGTGTAGAATTACCTGTTATAAGAACACAGCCACACAAGTCGAGGGCACGAAGATCGGGACATCCATAAGCCAAACTCATCACTCCAGTATCACCGACTCCTTCACACCAACCGAGGTTTATGGACTGAAGTTGTCGGCAGTTGTATCCGATAGCCTGCAGGACAGATGGGAACAGTTTTTAAAAAGCATCCCAAAAGCCGAACAGAATATGCTTTATAATCCTTCCGTCTCAAAATAAACGTCCACATTTCTATTTTAGTATATCCTAAAATAAGTGTCTTAAGTATCTACTTTCAAAAGTAAATGTCTTCTGCGCAGTTTTACCTTTAATTATGAGATGGAGAAAACTCATTACTCCCTATATCAACTATCAAGGGTAAAATTGTCATTTAGTTAATTAAAGAAACTGTAATATTTACACATTTCTAGAACCGTGTGGCTTTTTTTTAGCGTCACAATTATTATGGGACGAAGGAAGTACATTTCAAGACTTGAATGACACAATCGCGATTTGTCCATACCTTGAGGGCCTTGTCAGATGCCGCTTTTACACATCCACAAAGGTTCAAAATTTTCAATTTTCGACAGTAACCACTGAGATACTCGAGGGCGGCATCGCTAAAGGCAGAGCAGCCACTGATATTGAGCTTAATAAGATCCGGACAACCACGAGCCAAAGCATAAAGCGATCGGTCACCAAGTTTAAAGCTCTTGCTGAGGTCGAGATCCTCCAAATCATGGCAGTTTTGCGCAATGGTCTCAACAGCATTATCATCAAGCTGCGGTTTATCTTGCCGAAGGATCAAAACCCGCAATTTTGTGAACTTGGGAGCAAGAGAAAGTACCATGTTGTTCATGTTGTTTTTGCACCTACGGAAATTGAAAAACAAATCTTCAAGGCTTCATTAATTAACTACATATAATAATAATTAGCTTCATATACCAGTTAAAATGTCGGGTAAACTGGTAATGGATATAAAAGGTTTCACCCATACCATTATCCAATGGGATGAAACATAGTAGAAAGGTTTTTACCATTAACCATTGCTAGCCCTATTCAAAACTTCATCTCTCAAAGTTTAGACAAACTTCAAGAATCGCTAAAGACCCCCCTCCCAAAAGTTCATCATAATTTCTTTTTGCAAGCTGGTGGTTTTCACATAAACAAGCTCTATGCTCCTTAAGCTTTATGTACATCGTCTTACTAAGGGGCTGTTTATCAAACTCTTACAGGGTGTCACTTACCTTACTGGTTAGTATGGCAAGGACGAAGAATCTTACCCGCTAAGAGGCATAGCAAGGACCACAATCTTACCCAGTAAGAGAGAGAGAGAAGACTCTTACCCAATAAACACTTACGGGGAACGCTTACCACAATCCATTTTGATGGCCGCAAAATGTTACCCACCAAGGTAAGTGTTTGGTAAACCGCCTCTAAGTGTAAACTCTACTCCAAGACAATATCTTCAAAATTGATAAATTAAGTTGAACATATGGTACGTTAAAATTACCTATTTTCCCATGAGCATCATTGCGAACTTGATGATCTTGATTTAGGTCCACACTTCCCTTGTTTTATTGTCAAGGAAGGGCATTTTATTCCAATCATACATTTTCAAATACTCCCCTAGAACCGTTACTAGTCCAAGCTATCAAAACGAATCTTTTTATCCGAAAAGCAAAAGATGAACACACCTCCAATCATTCTCAACTGGTTTTGAGTTGGAACCACTTGTCTAACGAAGGTCAAAAAAGAAAAGGACTAAAAATAGTTCATGATAGTCCTATTCAAGAAAGAGACAATCTTGAATATAATTACACACCCGAAAAAAGTAATGAAAAGAGAGGAAAGAACATATAAACAGTTTAGCAAACAAATCGTCTTTCGCTCAACAGTACAAGTCCGAGGCTATGTTTGGCAAACTAGTTGATAAATTAACCGTTGGCCGATAAGTTAACTTGAACCTATAAGCTAGCCGATAAACTAGTAACTCGATGGTACAAGTATGAGGCAATGTTTGGCAAAGCAGCCGATAGATTACCCGTTGGCTGATAATTAACTGTAAACTGATGACAAGCTAGCGGATAAACTAGTCACTTCAGGTAAAAACTAGTCACTTAAGTTGGAGGATAAAGAAAAATATAAGGAGCATTTATGTAAAATATAAGACGCATAATTGAAAACATGTGGAAAAACCCCCAATAAGCTATCTGAAATAACTTATCAAAACCTTATACCTTACTAAACTAGATTTATTTTTTAATAAGCTCCACAAATAAGCTTTGATACTAAACACTAATCGCCTCTTATCTGGTAAGAAGTGATGGTGTTAACAGCAATCTTACCATGCCATTTTGCTAACTGAGATTATCATCCCGTAAGTAAGGATGGTGACTCTCGTCCAATTAAAGCTTTTACTCGGTAAGAGACACTTAGGTGGCGTTTGTTTTCTAAGAGGTGCTTTCACTTCCGATTGATAATGATTTATAAGAGGTGAAGCTGAAGTCTGAAATCTGAATCAACAAGACTGTTCGTTTTTGTAACCTAATAAAAATCTGAAAACTCTAAAATTTGAATCAATAGTTTTTTTCTTTTTTGAAGTATATAATATTTATATACGGCAAATGCAACAAATAAACTCACACACCCTCCTCAGAACCCCTGACCTCCTAGAATTTGAATCAATAGTTTGTTTCTGTAAATAGAGAATACTCATAAATACTACGAGCTGTGTTAACTATACTATGCTATTTTGATGACCTAGAATCTTGCTCCATAAGCGCTAACGGCCCCCCAGTCTCTAGAACACTACTTCTGAGTCTCTTGATAGAGATGGTTGTCTCACTTTGTTAGCTTCAGAAAGGAAAAGAAAAAAGAAACAGTATTTGTGGAAGAAGTACTCAAAGTTTGTGTCTTTAAGCACAAAAAGTGCATCAGGAACCACCCCAATATGCTTATCCTAAAATCAAACATCTGGATGCATCTGAACATCAAATTTTCTGCTATAAACAACCATTTGCAAACTCAATAAAGATAAGACCCATAAGATACAGAATCATGACCATATAAATCTTAAAAAGTAAATGAAAATCTTGAATAAATTAATCAAAGCAACAAGCTATAAAAGTATAAAATTATAATAGAATCAAAGGGATGAAAAGAAGATGGATGATACCAAGAGAGGGAAAAATGAGTAAGTCCCCAACATATAGCATCCCTCCATCCACTACAAACTCCAGAAGCAATTATGACCGTCCGATCATCCAGCAAAGATATAATCCTCATCAAAAGCTCCATCGGAATGTCCTTCCACTCCGTAATAACCCTCCTCCCACCTCCAAAAACCATCAGATTGTTGAAAGATATGTTCAGTTCATCAGCTTGCATCATTGACATTTTTAGAAAAATACCCAACTTTTACCCTTCAGATGAAAACCCTTCTTTCTGTCATCAAAAAGAAAAAGGGCCATTAGATTTTAAAAATAAAAGCAACAGAGTAAGAAAACAACAATTCAAGCGATACAACTGTCAAGAATAGTGGAAAGTTTGATGATATATGAAGTTGAGTAATAAAGGAAGAACCTGATAATGGAGAATGCGAATTACACGGTGCCGAAACTTGGAACCTTTGATTTTGGGAAAACTAAAATTACCCTAATTCCCCCAAGGGTTTTCTTCACGGGATAGAAATCTAAACTAGAAATGGTGGAATATGCGATTTGCAAGCAAATTGGGGTTTCCGATTTAACGAGTTTTTTATGGAGTTGAGAAGACTATAAATTACAAGTGTTAGTGAGCAAGAGACGATCATCAAGGATAGAAATTGCGAAGAATTCAGGTCAAAAGGAGGTACTTGTGGATTATTTGATGATGGTATTTGTTAATTTCTGTGTTGCCAGAAAGCTGTTTGAAGATCACGAGAGGTTTTTATCGAGGGCGAAGGAAGCGTGACGAAATGAAAGAAACGAGCGACACGTACGACCCCACGTGTGAAGAATGGATGGTTGTGTGTATGTTCGGCGGAGATGGTGGACCCACTCAGAGGGATTAATCAACAGTTTTGTCCTCTTTGCAAAAACTTTTGTCTCCTAAATGTTCGATTTTTTACGAGTAAATCTCAATTAAAATATTTTTTTTATTTATTTAATAATTTTCAACTTCAATTTAATTTAATTTTTTTTATTATTTAACCACAATCCTCCTAAATCTAATTTAATTTAAAATATTATTTTTGATAAACTCAAATTCAATTAATCAAACAATAATACTTCAAGATTCAAAAATCTTAATAATGGCAAAAAAGTAGAGAGAGAATATTCTTCAATACTTAATGTGTATTGATCTTCCAATAATTACAATCTAAGGTACGATTGCAATGCTATTAAATTTATTACAAGATTACAAAGATACCACCTATTTATACAAGGAAAGTACAAGGGAATAAAAAGATTGAATACAATTTTTAGCACAAAGCATTGAATCCAACATTTTCCCCCCTTTGGATTCAAGTTCTAGAAATAAAAAATCTTGAACGTGTAAATCTCATATGTGTCTCAAACCTTCTAATAGCATTCTTATACCGAATCTTTTCATCAAGTAACTCTAGAGCATTAAGAAATAAAAACTCTCTCTTATATTCAACTTGTTAAACCCTAACGTTTTGTCATCTTGAGTTTTCTTCAATTCAAGTTACTTCCTTATAACTTTGATTGTTCCATCAATGTACTGCTTGAGTTCACTGAACCTCATAAACCTTTTAGCATTCTCAGAGTTATCATAAATCACATCAAATTCTGGATCTTCAAGAATCATATACAAAAGATAACCATCAATGTCTTCTAAATCTTGATTCGACATTTTCAGATTAACCTTCTTTTGGTTACTTTCATAACCCATCTAAACATCTATAACTGAAGATAGTTTGCTCTGACATTTGAAAACCCTTTTGATAGCTTCTAATCCTCTGACGATTCGTTCCAACCTGACAGTCTGGTTTCTGATATCATGATATATAAAATCTAAGTCTTCCAAGTACAGATTAGGAAAATTAGCTTCACTAAAGCTCCATTCTTTACCGTCTTGTCTGGTGACATAGAAAACTGATACCACACTTCTACAAGTTTTCTGGCTTCCACCTTCTTTATCGAGACAATCTAGTGCTTTGTTTATACAAAGTGAATGGGTTAACATTTGGCATTGAGGAAGTACTTGTATTCTTTGCGGTATTTAATGGTTTCTTTGCCAATATCCAAGACTTTATCAGTACCTAAAGCTTTCCGGTGACGAACAAAAATGTCAGTGTACAAGTCTTCAAGATAAGGTTCTCGAATTATAGCTTTGTCCCACCCTGGAGTTTGAAGCTTCTTAGTAAAAGGCACATATCTTCTTGAAGGTTGAACATTTGAAGTTTGAGGCACCGAAGATGTACAAGGAACACTTAGTGGTTCTGCAAAAACTAGTTCATAATCTTCTTTCGGCTCGAACTGAAATGGAAAGCTTGATTCTTCATCATTCATGTCTGCTTCAAAGTCAAATAACAGTTCATCTGAATCAATAGCTTCACCTTCAGATTCAACATTAAAGTCCTGAACTCCACCAATTTCATTTGCAAATACATCATTATATCCAACATTTGCTACCAGACCCCAGTAACTTCCTTGTTTTTGCTGTGGAGACCTCCGGCTTTTCAACCATCGGCTCGATCTCTGCGTCTGTAAAAGCTGTCATTTTTGTTCCTGTTACCCTTTCACCAAAATGATTGGAATTACGCTCACCAGAATATTCACTATCTTCTATCTCCATCCCTTGAGCTCAAAGACTCAACCACTTTTTGTCTTTTCATCTCCCCCTCATGGTGATCAGGATCGTCCTGGTCATCATGTCTTAGCACAAAGCATTGAACCCAACATTTTTGTAAAAATCATATATTTAATTTTTTATTATATAATTATTAGTTTTTAATTTTAAGTATAAGAATATAATAAACGGATCATTACATATTTTAAAACGTAATTATAATTATAAAAAAATTATCATATAATTGAAATTAAATAAAACAAGTCATAAAAATATGTACGAAATAACACATCTAAAATACATAAACAATTGTAGTTAATTATCATGACCGAATTTTTGTCATATATGCTCAATCAAATCATTTTTTAGAACGTTATGAGCTTCTCATTTGTGAAGTTGTTTTCTGTTAGCCATATAACAAGATAAGCTTGAAATCCGTTCAGTAGAGAATTCAGTTGATCGACCATCATATTTTGCAACGCTTCTTTGTTGTCGATTTGTGGGCATGTCGTTAAGAAACTCAGTAGGATCATAATAATTTTGGTATGTATCTCGTTCGTTTTCAACTATCATATTATGCCCGATGATACAAGCTATCATAATTCGTCCCACTATATGTCTGTCCCAAACAAGACATGGTAGCCGAATAAATGTAAAACGAGCTTGTAGAAATCCAAATGCTCGCTCAACATCTTTTCAACATGCCTCTTGAACTTGAGCAAACAACTTGTGCTTCCACATTTAGGGAGATGTAATTGACTTGACAAATGCAACCTGTGAGTCCACGAAATGATCAATCTTCATAAATCTTCTAAGAATCCATGGCAGATTAAGATAAACTTGTAAGAACACTTGAGAGGAGAGTTGAGAGGATTAGTCAACAAGTCAATGCTCTATTATGTACGTATATGTTTACAATGAAGCTCTCCTCAAATTACACTAAAAAGAAAACTATATATAGGGTCAAACTAAAACCCTTCTAGTCAAAGTCAAACTCAATTACAAAGTCAAACACGATATCTATACAATTATAGACAAATATTAACTTTTAAAGACGAATACAATTTAACACTGAAATTCAGACCCAACATTCTCCACCTTTGTATTTAGGCTTGAAAGAATTTGTGCATTTTGAATCTCGTTTGAACTTTGTCGTTTTAAGCACTTTATGACTTTTTCAAAAACTACAAAACAATCTTCACTTTGAGATCTTCAGACGATCTTTTATTGAGAAAATCTTCTAACATTCTCCCCCTCGAATGTAGAACAACAACGATCTTCTCTTTTGACAATGTAGAACAAAATCAGCTACAAACTTCAGAAACGATCTTTAAGATATGATCTTCAAAGAATCTTCTTCAGAAAACAGATTCTAACATTCTCCCCAAAAATGAATTTCTTCAGAAAAAATTCACAAACATTCTTTCTCAAAATTAAACATTCTCTTTGTTGAGAAATCTCAAACAGTAAACTTTTATAAAGATGAAATCTTCACATTCAAAAACTCTCAAACACTGTAGCACAGGAATAATCTTCAGTAATAATTTTCATTCACACTCCTTTGAGTCTTTTGCCGACCTTTGATGTTACTCCCCCTTGATCTTTATAACATGCTCCCCTTATAACATTCATAATCGATCATTTCATTCATTATTACACATCTTATGATGAAATGAGAATCATTAGCATCATACATCAGAATGAATGAAATCTTCAGCGAGAGCCGTCAAATCATAAAATTGTAAGCAGATCTTTTCAAATCCACTTGTATAATCTTTTCAGATTATGGGAATGGAAAAATAACAACCAACTTCAACATATGAAATTGTTTTCAATCTTATAAAAGATTGGTCTGTGAATATAACAAATATACTCAATACAACGAATGTACTTCATATATGAGACTTTTTAAGGTTTATCTCACCAGGTCTTCCATTCAATCATCGATATCTTATAAAAGAATATCTATGAATGTTTTGGCAAAATATTATATAGATTGCAAAATCTGTGTAGTGTGGAAAGATAAAGCAACATATGCTTATGTTTAGGCTTAAAAAGATAAACCGTGTGGACTACATAAATTTATCTGACTCAAGTCGTGATCAAAAAGACTTGAAGGAGGGACATATATCCTTATTTTTCAATATCAGCTTTCTCCGAATGAGAAATTGATAGATTGTGAGCTGCATGCCCCAAGTGTTATTAAAACACTTATCTTTTAAGAGATAAATGAGTAGCTGGTGGGGTTGTAACAAGAATTGGTCTGGGCTTTGCCTTTTTCAATATTAATCTCGAGAAAAAAATTGAGAACTAATAAATTATGTGGTATGCCCAGTATTTTGAAGTTTTGGAACAGGATTCTTTTAATCTTTTGATCCTGACACAACTCTCATTAATTCTTTTGGCTCACAACAACTACCCCTGTCTTTTTCATTTTAAGCTCTGCACACAAACCCTTTTTGTATTTAAAGTTCACTCAGATATGGTTGTCCTCTTGGGTATGTCTGTCGGTTTTGACATTCGATAGAGGTATTTCTGTGAAGCATTCAGTCCCTCCTAAATTTACATTTGATAGGTCACTTTAAGATCAATCTTCAAGCAAAACTTCAATATCTATGGCAGATCTGAATTTAACATTCAAGAACATCATATAAGAACTTTGAGAGAGAAAGTCAACATTCAAAGCTTTGGTCAAACTCTCTTTACGTAATATGATTTTACAATTAGCTCTCTCTACTAGATTTACAAAGACATCACCCTATTTATAGGGTCAAACTTCTAGACAAAGTCAAAGTCAAACCTATCTAAGAAAAGTCAAACATGATGTCTTTTCTACAATTATAGACAATTTTATCTTTCAAGACGAATACAATTTTACATAGAATTTCATTCCTAACATTCTCCCCCTTTGTATTCAGACTTGAAAGAAATTCTGCACTTTGAGTCCTGTTTGAACTTTGAAGCTTTAAACACATTATGTCTTCTTTCAAAAGAATTCTTCAACTTGAAATCTTCAAGCAATCAACTGTTGAGAAAGATCTTCTA